AAAAATTAGCTGGGCATGGTGGCAGGCACCTGTAATCCCAACTACTCAGGAGGCTGAGGCAGGAAAATCGCTTGAACCCGGAAAGTGGATTTTGTAGTGAGCCAAGATCGTGCCACTGCACTCCAGTCTAGGCAGCAGAGAGAGACTCCATTTCAAAAAAAAAGGCCAGGTGCGGTGACTCATGCCTGTAATCCCAGCACTTTGGGAGGCCAAGGCGGATGAAACACAAGGTCAGGAGTTCAAGACCAGCTTGACCAATGTGGTGAAACCCCTGTCTCTACTAAAAATACAAAAATTAGCCAGGCATGGTGGCGCACACCTGTAATCCCAGTTACTTGGGAGGCTGAGGCAGGAGAATCGCTTGAACCAGGGAGGTGAAGGTTGTGATGAGCCGGGATCGTGCCGCTGCACTCCAGCCTGGGCAACAAAAGCAAGACTTTGTCTCAAAAAAAAAAAAAAAGAGAGAGAGAAAGAAAAAAGGCTGTGCGCAGTGGCTCACGCCTATAATCCCAGCATTTTGAGAGGCCGAAGGGGGCAGATCACAAGGTCAGAAGTTCAAGGCCAGTCTGACCAACATGGTGAAACTCCCTCTCTACTAAAAATACAAAAATTAGCCGGTCATCGTGGGGCGTACCGGTAATCCCAGCTACTCGGGAGGCTGAGGCAGGAGAATCACATGATCCCAGGAGGCGGAGGTTACAGTCAGCCTAGATTACACCACTGTACGCCAGCCTGGGCAACAGAGCAAAACTCCTTCTCAAAAAAAAAAAAAAAAAGAAAGAAAGAATATTCACTAGGTCCGGCCCACACTCAAAGGAAGGGGACCATGCAAGAGCGGGAAGAGCAGGAGACAGGGGTCCCTGGGGCCATCTGCAAGGCTGCCTCCCACAGGCAAGTATGTCCAGCCATGTCAGGGACTTAGAGTGGACCCATCTCCTGCCCTGTCCCCAGGGGAGACAGAACCAGGCATGGACACCCCAGGGGCTCCTGGGAGCAGAGCTGAAGAGGGAGGGATGGGCCCGGGTGAACCCAAGAAGGAACGACAGCCTTCCGCCTAACAAACATGTCCTGCGCTACTGCTATATGCCAGTCCTGAGGGGCACAGGGCCACGGTGCCAGGACCAACGCAGTCTCCTTCTGTGCCCCTATGGCGCCCACCACCTAGAAAGAGGCCCAAGACTAAAAGGCAAGAAAACAGCCCAGATGTGGTGGTTCACACCTGTCATCCTACCACTTTGGGAGGCTGAGGCAGGAGGATTCCTTGAGCCCAGGAGTTCAAGACCAGCCTGGGCAACATAGCGAGACCTCTCCTCTACAAAAAATAAACAAAATCTGCCTGGTATGGTGGCATGCACCTGCTGTCCCAGCTACTTGGGAGGCCGATGTGGGAGGATCACTGGAGCCTGGGAAGTTGAGGCTGCAGTGAGCTATGATCATACCACTGCACTCCAGCCTGGGTGACAGAGTGAGACCTTATCAAAAACACAAAAACTTCTAATCCCAAAGCAAGGAAAGAAAAGAAAAACACAACACTAAAAATGCAGGGTTAAAATGAGTTAACTATTTTTTTGTTTTGTTTTGTTTTTTTGAAACAGAGTTTTGATCTTGTTGCCCAGGCTGGAATGCAGTGGCGCAATCTTGGCTCATTGCAACCTCTGCCTCCCGGGTCCCAGCGATTCTCTTGCCTCAGCCTCCCAAGTAGCTAGGGTTACAGGCACGTGCCACCACACCCAGCTAATTTTTGTATTTTTAATAGAGACGAGGTTTCCATGTTGGCCAGTCTGGTCTCAAAACCTCAGGTGATCCGCCCACCTTGGCCCCCCAAAGTACTGGGATTACAGGCGTGAGCCACTGGGCCTGGCCAAGTCAAATCTTTATTGAAGTAGAAACAAAATGATCAGAAAATAAGGACCAGTCAGAGGCCAAAATGTCATTGTAGTCCCAGGATGGGGACAGCTTAGGTGTCAGACAAGGCAGGTTTGAATCTGATAAAAACTCAAATGATGCCCATTCAACATAAAGGTGAACTGGAAATCAAAATAAGATCTTCCTTTTTTTCTTTTTTTTTTCTCCAAGGCAGAGTCTCACTCTGTTGCTCAGGCTAGATAAAGTACAATGGCACGATCTCAACTCACTGCAACCTCCGCCTCCCAGGTTCAAGCAACTCTTCTGCCTCAGCCTCCCGAGTAGCTGGGATTACAGGCACCCGCCACTACGCCTGGCTAATTTTTGAATTTTTAGTAGAGACGGGGTTTCACCGTGTTGGCCAAACGGGTCTCGAACTCCTGACCTCGTGATCTGCCTGCCTTGGCCTCCCAAAGTGCTGGAATTACAGGCATGAGCCACTGTGCCCAGCCAAGATCTTTCCTTAACATACACACCCCAGGAACTGAAAGGAAGGTTGGTATCTCAGAGCGTTTGCTGTTAGGAGGAAGGGGTGAAATCTCTGTGGTGACTCATAACCTCACATGAGTTGGCAACTCCAACCACCCCATCTGGGTGTCTGAAAGTCCTCAAGTAGACAACATGGATGAAAGCGGTCCAAGCTGGGCGCAGTAATCCCAGCACTTTGAGAGGCTGAAGCGGGAGGATCACTGAGGCCAGGAGTTCGAGACTAGCCTGGGCAACATGACAAAACCACGACGCTGCAAAAAAAAATACAAAAATCTGCCCGGTATGGTGGTGTGCACCTGTCGCCCCAGCTACTCAGGAGGCTGGGGTAGGAGGACTGCTTAACGCCAGGAGTTCCAGACCAGACTGGGTAACATACCAAGACCCCATCTCTATAGAAAACAATCTTGTAAGTATCCAGGAGCGGTGGCCAGTGCTTGTAGTCCCGGCTTGTTAAGGAGGCCAAGGTGAGAGAATTGCTTAAGCCAGGGAGTTGGAGGCTGGTGCAGCTTGGGCAACAGAGGGGAGACCCTGTTTCAAAGAAAAAAAGGGGCCAGGCACGGTGGCTCATGCCTGTAATCCCAGCACTTTGGGAGGCTGAGGTGGATGGATCACCTGAGGTCAGGAGTTTGAGACTAGCTTGATCAACATAGTGAAACCCCATCTCTATTAAAAACACAAAAATTAGCCGGGCACGGTGGCATGTGCCTGTAGTTCCAGCTACTTGGGAGGCTGAGGCAGGAGAATCGCTGAACCCAGGAGGTGGAGGTTGCAGTGAGCCGAGATCGTGCCACTGCACTCCAGCCCAGGCCACAGAGCGAGTCTCTGTCTCAAATAAACAAACAGGGAATAGCCAAGAGGCAAGTGCAGCTGGAAGGGTGACTAGAAGGAAGCAGGCGGAGGCTGAGACATCGTCAAGGACCTCAATTCTGAGGGCAGCAAGGAGCTATGAGAGGGTGCTGAGCAGGAAAATTCAGCAAAGACTCTCAGAGGGAGAGCCTGCCCCAGCTAAAAGGGGCCCAGTATGTTCTGGGCAGCTTCAGCTCGACATTACAGCAAGTCTTTCTGGGGACCAGGTGAATATATGGAGGGGGGCAGTGGTGAGCGGGTAGGGAACAGATGGTAGGACCTTCGGCGCCCAGCTAGGAGCTGAGTCTTCCTTCTGCAGAGGATGGGCTGGCCACTGGAAAATGTGAGAGCAGAGGGCACAGGCAGATTTGCACATCAAAACAACCGAGGGGCCAAGGCCCAGGGCCATGGCGTAGAGAAGAAGGGGTGAGTTTTAGAAAGTGCAGAACTGGGCGGGCGCAGTGGCTCAGACCTGTAATCTCAGCGCTTTGGGAGGCCAAAGCAGATGGATCACAAGGTCAAGAGATCAAGACCAGCCTGGCCAACATGGTGAAACTCGTCTCTACTAAAAACACAAAAATTAGCTGGGCGTGGTGGTGCACACCTGTAGTCCCAGCTACTCGGGAGGCTGAGGCAGGAGAATCGTTTGAACCCAGGAGGCAGAGGTTGCAGTGAGCCTAGTACCACTGCACTACAGCCTGGCAACAGAGCAAGACTCCATCTCAAAAAAAAGGAAAGTTCAGAACCAGTCAACTTACAGGGGGATCCTTCCCATCTCCACACCCTCTGCGCCCTCTTACAATGGGTCTGTCCCTCTTGCAAGTCCATCTTACAGGGAGCGATGACGGTGCTGAGCCCTGCCCCCACTCAGCCGGTGCTCACCTGCTCCCATGTGGGGCTGTTCCTGAGATCTGCTCTGATAGGAACTTCCAGCAATGCCTGCTTCACCCCAGAAGGACCCTCAACGGCTCATTTGATTAAGCCCCTCAGAGGCACTGCAGAAACCCTCCAAGCATACTTGCCCAGGACACCACAATCTGCCCCCCTAGCCTGAACCCAGTGTCCCAGTCTCCAGAAGAGACCTCCAATCAAGTCCTGGAATACACAGCAGCCTCCCTACACGCTCTGAACAACTCCCAAACCCAAAGTCCCACACACACGCGAAACTCTCAAACAGTGCCCCAGCTGTAAACGGTCCCGAGGAACGACACACCTTCAGAGACCCTGTAAGTCCTTTATAGATTTCCTAAACAGCTCGCTCATCCCTCAGAGAAAGCCCTAGATAGATCCAAAATGTCTTGGCAGTCCCCACAGACTATCTATTGGGTCATCCCTGTGAGCCCCGGTGACCCACTGGAGAGCCCCCGAAGTCTCTCACAGTCATCAAGGCTCCAAAGAGACACCCACACCGCCACAGCTTTCCAATCAGCCCCAGCTCCCTGGAACTTCCACCAGCTGCCCAAAGACCCCCAAGTTGCCCCCAAACACCCTGAGATCTAAGCAGCCTGCAACACCCTAAGACCCTGGAGGCTACTCGTCTCCCCCGAGAAACCCTTAAAGTGTCCCCTGCAGTCCGCTCAGGGCCCCGCAACTGGTCACTCTCTCAGGCCGCGTCCCCGCCCCGCCCCCAAACTACAAAGCACCCCCAACTCTCCGGACCCTCCAAGCTGTCCCTGCAATCCAGCCCCCCCCACGGTACGCCCTAGAGCCCTCAGCCCCGCCCCCAGCCCTGGCCCTGGCCGGATACCCTCAACACTCACAAGAGGTCTCGCCTAGCCGTCTTGCAGACGATGCGCAGGAAGCGCCAGCCGCCGCTGCCGACGTACACGCCGAGAGCCGCTGCCGCGCTCCAGGTCCACGGCAACCCCAGCAGCCACAACAGGGCCAGCGAGACCACCGAGGCCGTGCCTGCACCCGGAGCCCACATCCTGGAGAGGCAGACAGCGCTGAGGCCGCGGGCCTCTCAGGCTCCGCCCCACCGCCGGCCCCGCCCCATCCCTACGGTAAGCCCCGCCCCCAGGACTCGGCTCCTTCCCCCGCGAGTCCGGGAAGCGCGCTGAGTCAGACTCCGCCCCCAGGCCTGGGATTGGTCAGGTCCTCAGGTCAGGCACCGCCCCCTTTCCAGTTCTAGTTAACGCCCCCTAACTAGAACCAGACCCCGCCCCCAGGCCTTGAATTGCCCAGGTTCCGGCCAGGCTCCGCCCCCGAACCATGGCTCGGCTCTATCACATATTTTCGAGCCCATCCTTCCCTGCCAATCTTACAACAGGCACCGCCCCCAGAGTCAGCTTGTCCACTCGTCGGTCACTGCCGGGCCTCGCCACGTGCCTTCAGCTAGCCTCTAACCTCAATTCCCGAATTCCCCTTCACGTTCTGTCCCCTTTCCTCCTGGTCCTGTCTCTAGCCAGTGGCCTTCTCTCTGGTCACTGAGCCCCGCCCTCAGTTTGGCTCCTAGCCCCACGCACAGGCAGAAGACCTCTCCCTCAGAGTCCCGCCCCTCTTAGCCAGGCTCCACCCCTAGGCTAAATCTATGGTCCCCCACCCACACACACCCCGCCCTTCCGGAACTAGACCCCGCCCGCGTCCGTTCAAGCCCCACCCCAGTCCCGGGCCTGGACCACGTTCCTGGGCTCAAATACTATCCTGGCCACGGGCCCAGCCCTCAGGCTTCGGCCGCGTCACCACCTCCTGGATTGCACTCCGGCTCAGCCCGCAGAGCCGAGGAAGACCCTCTTCCAGAAGCCACGACCATAGAGAGGCAACTGGGCCAGAGAGGCAACGGCCAACGAGATGTGGGGACTAGAACGGCGCGCCGGGGACGGCCGCTGTCCCCATGACGACCAAGCCTTGCCCCGCCTCCTCTAAGAAAACGCGTGCGTCTTGCAGCTGTGGGGCGTGGCTCTCAAGACCGCAGGACCCGAGCCCTAGATGGCGTGCAGGATACCTACCCCCGGGGATCAAAAATATCCCAGTCCACACCCACTGTCCGCTGGGCTGGATTCTTGCCCCAGTTTGTCCTAAATCCAAGCCCCAAAGCCTCTTTCGGTCTTAAAAACACATTTCAGAGCCCCGGGGAGTGCTCAACTCAAAACTTGGAGCCTCAGAAGTTTCTAGTTGTAAGTCCCGCCGCGGTCTTAAACGTATAATTTAAGGACACAGCTAATTCTTAATCCATGTCCCGAAGCCTAGTCGGTTAAGCCTGAACGTCACACCCCAAGATCCCAGGGAGGACAAAATCCACACGCCAGGTCCCCATCCTTCCTAGAAGCACCCACAGGCCCTTTACTTGCACCCCAGGGTCCTAGATGCTCCCCCCAGCGTGGGCCAGCGCTGCCGTGGGGGCACCCCCCACCCTGTTCTCTGGCTGACCTTAAGCTGCAAGCGGTGTCTTCAGTCTCCCAGAAGCTCAGGCAGGAGGCAGGCAGGGACTAGGGGTCTGAGGCCGGGAACCTTTCTGTTTCTGCAGACTCTTGGGCCCCTCTTGGGTGCGCTGTGCCCACTGTGCGGGCTTCTCCTTTGCAGTTCTTCTCTTCCAGTTCCCCCTCCTCTGCCCCACTGCCGACTCCACCACTGCTTGTTTTCTGCCCTGCTTGGCCGACCTTTCCAGCGTTCTCCTTGGGAGGCTGCCCAGGGCCTGCTTCCAATGCATTTGGAAGACAGGGCTGGGCAGGCGCTCACCCACTACGCTGCCATTGGTCCCTGGCAGCTGGGTGGCTGGAATGGGGGACCACGAGGAAGATCCAGAGGACAGGCCCAGAGCCAGCCACTGGCCTGTCGCTTTCTGGGCCTGGAAGAGTCAGCAATGACCAATAACTATAGCTGCACTCTTTTTTTTTTTTTTTTTTTTTTGAGACGGAGTTTCGCTCTTGTTACCCAGGCTGGAGTGCAATGGCGCGATCTCGGCTCCCCGCAACCTCCGCCTCCTGGGTTCAAGCAATTCTCCTGCCTCAGCCTCCTGAGTAGCTGGGATTACAGGCACGCACCACCATGCCCAGCTAATTTTTGTATTTTTAGTAGAGACGGGGTTTCACCTTGTTGACCAGGATGGTCTCAATCTCTTGACCTCGTGATCCACCCGCCTCAGCCTCCCAAAGTGCTGGGATTACAGGATTGAGCCACCGCACTCGGCCTACAGCTGCACTCTTACCTGGTTAGGTAGCACTGCTGTGATCACCTCATTTGACAGGTAAAGAAACTGAGGACAGGCCAGGTGCGGTGGCTCACCCCTGTAATCCCAGCACTTTGGGAGGCTGAGATGGGCAGATCACCTGAAGCCAGGAGTTTGAGACCAGCCTGACCAACATGGCGAAACCCCGTCTCTACTAAAAATACAAAAATGAGACAGTCATGGTGGAGCACACCTGTAATCCCAGCTACTCGGGAGGCTGAGGCAGGAGAATTGCTTGACCATGGAAGGCAGAGTTTCCAGTGAACCAAGATTGAGTCACTGCACTCCAGCCTGGGCGACAAGAGCACAAACTCCATCTCAAAAGAAAAAAAAACAAACAAAACAAAGTGCTGGAATTACAGGCAGGAGCTACCACACCTGGCCAATAAACATTTACTTTTTTTTGTTTGTTTGAGACAGAGTTTTGTTCTAATTGCCCAGGCTGGAGTGCAATAGAGTGATCTGGGCTCACTGCAACCTCCACTTCCCGGGTTCAAGTGATTCTCCTGCCCCAGCCTCCCAAGTAGCTGGGATTACAAGCACCTGCCACCGTGCCTGGCTAAACTTTTTTTCTTTTTTTTGAGACAGAGTCTCTCTCTGTTGTCCAGGCTGGAGTATAGTCACACAGTCTCGGCTCACTGCAACCTCTGCCTCCCAGGTTCAAGCAGTCCTCCTGCCTCTGCTCCCTAGTAGCTCAGATTAGAGGCATGTGTCACCACACCTGGCTAATTTTTATATTTTTAGTAGAGATGGAGTTTTGCCGTATTGGCCAGGCTGGTCTCAAACTCCTGACCTCAGGTGATCCACCCGCCTCGGCCTCCCAAAGTGCTGGGATTACAGGCATGAGCCACCACGCCCAGCCTAATTTTAGTAGGGACTGGGTTTCACCTTGTGGCCTAATTTTGTATTTTTCGTAGAGATGGGGTTTCACCGTGTTGGTCAGGCTGGTCTTGAACTCCTGACTTCAGGTGATCCACTCGCCTCAGCCTCCCAAAGTGCTGGGATTACAAGCAGGGGCCACCACACCTGGCCAATAAACATTTATCTTACCCACTGTGCCCAGACTCCCAATGGGCCCTCCCCTGGGTGATCGCAGGGACTGCCACAGCAAAGAATGTTTTTGGAACTTTCAGGAAGAACAAAAGAAAATAAGCAGGCCAGGCGCGGTGGCTCAAGCCTGTAATCCCAGCACTTTGGGAGGCCGAGGCAGGTGGATCACGAGGTCAAGAGATCGAGACCATCCTGGTCAACATGGTGAAACCCCGTCTCTACTAAAAATACAAAAAATTAGCTGGGCATGGTGGCGCGTGCCTGTAATCCCAGCTACTCAGGAGGCTGAGGCAGGAGAATTGCTTGAACCCAGGAGGCGGAGGTTGCGGTGAGCCGAGATCGCGCCATTGCACTCCAGCCTGGGTAACATGAGTGAAACTCCGTCTCAAAAAAAAGAAAATAAGCAATATTGAAATAAAATTCCACAAGATCATAGCGTGGGGGTTTCACTCTAAGTAGAACACAAGCGCTCCTCAGGAGGGAAAAATTTCTCCCAGACAAATTTAAATGCCCATTGCAGTAGGGATTCTTTTTTTTCTTTCTTTCTTTTTTTTCTTTTTGAAGACGGGGGTTTCACCATATTGGTCAGGCTGGTCTCAAACTCCTGACCTCAGGTGATCCGCCCCCCTCAGCCTCCCAAAGTGCTGGGATTACAGGCGTGAGCCACCTCACCCAGCTTTCTTCTTTTTTTATTTTTGGAGACAGGGTCTCTCTCTGATGCCCAGGCTGGAGTGCAGTGGCATGATCTCAGCTCACTGCACCCTCAACTTCCCGGGCACAAGCAATCCTTCTACCTCAGGCTCCCAAGTAGCTGGGACTACAGGTGCACACCACCCTACCTGACTAATTTTTGTATATTCTGTAGAGGCAGTCTCATGTTGCTTAGGCTGGTCTCCAACTTCCCCAGGCTCAAGCGATCTGCCTGCTTCTGCCTCCCAAAGTGCTGGGATTACAGGTGTGAGCCACCATACCCATCTGTTACCTGTTTTTCTTAATGCGTTTGCAACTCTCTTGAGAAGGGCAACACAGGGAGCCCTGCCCCCCGCCCTTAGAGGCCCCTCAGGTTAAGGTTTAGGCAGATTAGTGAGGTCCTAAGCTGGCTTCCTAAAGAGTTCTATTTCTGGGAGAGGAGCCAGTCAGCAGACCGGGAACGCACGGCGCGCCGTCCCCAGCACCCAGCCCGGGTTACCATGGCTTCCCTGTTCTCTGGCCGTGTCCTGATCCGAAACAACAGCGACCAGGACGAGCTGGACACAGAGGCCGAGGTCAGTCGCAGGCTGGAGAACCGGTTGGTGCTGCTGTTCTTCGGCGCCGGGGCTTGTCCGCAGTGCCAGGCCTTCATGCCCATTCTCAAGGACTTCTTCGTGAGGCTCACAGATGAGTTCTATGTGCTGCGGGCGGCGCAGCTGGCCCTGGTGTACGTGTCCCAGGACCCCACGGAGGAGCAGCAGGACCTGTTCCTCAAGGACATGCCAAAGAAGTGGCTTTTCCTGCCCTTTGAGGATGATCTGAGGAGGTGAGGAGGGGCGGGGAGGGCTTCCTGGAGGAGGGGGCATGTTCACTGAAAGTGAAGCATCCATTCTGACTGGAGTGAATGAGCAGCCCCTGTGTGCCAGTCCATATACTGGGGACTAGGGGGTGCCCACTTCCATGTGCTGGCTTCCATGCCACCCCAGGGAGCTTATAGCTGAGTGAGAGGAACAGGTGCAAAAGAGAGACTCAACTATGTAATAGCAAGGCCGGGCATGGTGACTCACCCCTGTAATCCCAGCACTTTGAGAGGCTGAGGCGGGCAGATCATGTGAGGTCAGGAGTTCAAGATCAGCCTGGCCAACATGGTGAAACCCCATCTCTACTAAAAATACAAGAATTAGCCGGGCATGGTGGCAGACATCTATAATCCCAGCTACTCCGGAGGCTGAGGCAGGAGAATCGTTTGGACCCAGGAGGTGGAGGTTGCAGTGAGTCGAGATTGTGCCACGGCACTCCAGCCTGGGTGACAGAGCAAGACTCCGTCTCAAAATACACACACACACACACACACACACACACACACACACACACACAATTTAAGTAAATAAATAATATATATAATTAATTATAAAACAAAAGTAAAGAACTGTGGGTTGAGCCCGGCACCTGTAATCCCTGCTACTTGGGAGGCTGAGATGGGAGGATCCCTTGAGCTCAGGAGTTTAAGACCGGGGGAAAAAAAAACCCAGAACTCTGGGTGATAGGTCTAGTCTGGCAGCAGCCTCTACTCCAGGATGAGAGGGTGGGAGTGTGTAGGATTAGGGCCTAGACGGGAGGTTTGGTCCAGGGTCTCTTAGGGATGTGGAGAGCTTCCCATTGGCTTCCCTTAAGACTTTGAACAAAATTGAGGCTGGGCACTGTGGCTTGTGCCTGTAATCCCAGCCCTTTGGGAGGCTGAGGCAGGAGGGTCATGAGCTCAGGAGTTTGGGACCAGCTCAGGCAACATAGTGAGACCCAGACTCTGAAAAACAGTTTAAAAATTACCCAAGTGTGGTGATGCGAGCCTGTAGTTCACCTACTTAGAAGGCTGAGGCCAGACGATTGCCTTAGCCTGGGAGGTCGAGGCCACGGTGAGCTATGATCGCACTGCTGCACTCCAGCCTGGGTGACAGAGCAAGATGCTGTCTCAAAGAAAAAGAAAAAAAGAGCCAGACGCGGTGGCGCGTGCCTGTAGTCCCAGCTACTCGGGAGGCTGAGGTGGGAGGATTGCTTGAGCCCAGGAGTTCTGGGCTGTAGTGCGCTATGCCAATCAGGTGTCTGCACTAAGTTCGGCATCAATATGGTGACCTCCCGGGAGCGGGGGACCACCAGGTTGCCTAAGGAGGGGTGAACCGGCCCAGGTAGGAAATGGAGCAGGTCACAACTCCTAGGCTGATTGGTAGTGGGATCGAGCCCGTGAATAGCCACTGCACTCCAGCCTGGGCAACGTAGCGAGACCCTGTCTAAAAAAAAAAAAAAGAAAGAAAGAAAGAAAAAGAAAAAAAGAACAAAATTGAAACTCCTTACCATGACCCCGCATGGCCTGCGTGATCAGGGCTGTACTCCAATGACCATCCCACCTCAGGGCCTTTGCATCTCCTATGCGTATTGCCTGGGACACCTTCCCCCAGTTCTCCAGCCCCCATCATCCCATAGATCTCAGCTCAGAGACTACCTCGTTGGAGAGATGCTCTCTAGCCAGCAACCCCTTACCCTGCTTACCTGCTTAATCTCTCTCTCTCTCTCTCTCTTTTTTTTTTAAGGCGGAGTCTTGCTCTGTTGCCCAGGCTGGGGTGCAGTGGCACAATCTTGGCTCACTGCAACCTCTGCCTCCCAGGTTCAAGCAATTCTCCTGCCTCAGCCTCCAGAGTAGCTGGGACTACAGACAGGGGCATGCCACCATACCTGGCTAAATT